GCCCACGCACTGTGCTTCTCACAGCAAAGGGCAGCTCACACCGGCAGGGCAAGTGTGTCCAAGCCACCACGCTCCGGCAAGTTGAAAAAGAAAGGCCAGAGCACTAACGAGGGGACGATGAGGGATGGGCCACTGCGGCCACTTGAAGGGCTTTGACCTTTACTGAAAGTATAAGTCCTGAGCCAGAAGAATGACCTCTTCCTATTCGGTGGTTGGAGAGATGCATTATTAGTATATGCATCATATATTATACAACATTAGTATCTTGCTATATGCATCGTTAGCATATGCTAGTGTACATTCAAAACTCTTGGATCATATTGTGCCCCTATTTTCCCACCATTTCTAAACTTCAGATGGGAAAGATGGCCAAGATAGTAAGAACACAACTTCATTAATGCAGAATTATAATTTAAAATGGCTCTAAGCCAGGCACTAGTGGCTCACACCTGTCATCCTAGCTACTCAGGAGGCTGAGATCTGAGGATCACAGTTCAAAGCCAGCTCAGGCAGGAAGTCTATGAGACTTATCTCCAATTAACCACCAGAAAACCGGAAGTGGTGCTATGGCTCAAGTAGTAGAGCACTTGCCTTGAGCTGAAGAACCCAGGGACAGTGCCCACATCCAGAGTTCAAGCCTCATGATTGACAAAAAAGGGAGGGGGCTCTAAATATAATAACTTAGAGATCTTAAATTATAAGGAAGGGAAGAACACATGTTCATTTAAAAGGATCATATGGGAAACCATAACTAGAATTGATTGACTGTGATACGGGAAAAAGTGCGTTAGATGGAATTTGTGAATATTCTACACATGAAGTCAAATGGTACGATGTGCATCTGCGCTCAGACGCTGCAGTCAGATAATATGACCAGACATAAAGCTCTCACCTCTGTAGGGATCTGAGGAAAATCACAAAGCTTCTGGGCACCAGCTCCTCCCGTCAGTTTTGCGTCTGTCCACAGATTTCCACAAAGGCTGGAGGGACAGTGGGAAGAGCGCCCTCTGGACGGCTTAGTGACTTCTGGCCACCCTGGCCACACCATGACAAAAATGGAAAAGTTCTTAGATTTTTCTGGCCTCCTCTACCCAACGAAATACTAATTCTAAGGGACAGTCATGTGCTAGGGTATGTTTCTATCCTTTGTGCCATCTCCTCCTCCACTGGCTAGCTCGCCCCTTTTTGCCCCACCTGGTAACATTTTACCCATTCCTCAAATCCAGCTGAAATAGTTATCTTTGACAACTATTTCACCTGGGCACTAGCCCTTTGTTGTTATTTAATAAGATCTTGGAGAGAGAAAGCAGCTCTAGAATTTAAGATCCTAAACGAGATCAGCGATGTTTATCACCACGAATCATATTTCACTAAATATTTGAGCACTGTATACAAGTACATTCACAATGTACAATAGGGAACACAGTTCAAGCTCAATGTGCTGTGCGGAAAGCCAGAATCCTGGAGCCAAACGGTTGGATCAGAATCTAGGGAGGGACATCTACCAACTGTGGGAAGTTAAGCAACCTGCATCTCCGTTTTAGTTTCCTGAAGTCGAGGGCAGTACGACTGTTGGCACCTTCTCCCATGTGTAAGGAAAATTAAACAGCAGGCGTGAGGAGGTGGTCCGAGCCGTAATGGGTGAAAACAGGTAAGAAATGGCCCATGGGCAATGTGTGCTGCCACCCCTCCAGTGTCACAGTACCCAGACTTTCTCAAATTTTGGGCAGTCCTTTCACCTGGGACTTCAACAGCAAAGTCATTTTCCCTGCCCCCGAATTAACGTCTCGAATAGAATTACAGAATGCTACCTGAGTGGAACACAGCACCGGTGACCGAGTGCTGCGTGAAGTAGGCAGGAGGAGGCCCTTTGTGAGCAGCTAACACCAGGCGCTTGCACGGAGCGCCGTGCATATTGGCAGTGCTCCCAGGAGAAAAGCGAGTTACAGTTTCTAAGCTGAACTTGAAGGCGATGAAGACATTAGCAATCTTTTTTAGCAAATAACTTTTATGGTAAATCCCGACTTCCAGCACACTCGTCAGCCATGTGCTCACCTAAAACTCCAGTCCCTGCAGGTCCTGGAGTTCAGCGACGGCAGGTACGCCCAAGAAGGTTGGCAGAGAAAGGGAAGGGCTGGAAGAACTTGATCAACAAGAATGGGGTAATGATATGAGCTTCTTCTCTTTTTTTTAAACACACGCACACTTTGGTTGGGCTAGCCTCTGGCCGATGACGGGAAGCTCACTGAACAGAACTGGTCTTTTCACTGTTTAAAACACATTTTCTGTTAGCATATATTGGTTGTAGGAGGGAATTTCAATGTACCGTTTCCATCCATGCTTGCAAACTCACCCCCTCCATCTTCCCTCCCCTCCCCTTTCCACACTTTGTAGAACAATTTCTCCCGAGTTGCCTTGTAAACTTTAAGTGTTGTTTTCACTGGTGAATACTTTCCCCAATGATTGTTATATATTGCTCTCTGGACAATGTGTAGCAACGTATAAAAGTCCATAGCAATATGTCACGCAACAATAGTCAACTCTGCCTACCCCTTCCAGTCCCAGTACTTGCACCCAGAGTAGAGACGTCACATTGCTAATGTAGCTGCAGAAAATAGTCTGGGAAACAATTTTTTCATCTACAAAGTCCTTCAAAGTTCTTAAAATAACTAGGGGAAAAAATGAAACATTACTGAGGACTATGATTTAGGCACATCCATGCATGCGCTTCTATCCTGCTAGCATGGGTCATGCATCTCTCCCCAAGTTCCCACGTGATCTAGGGTATATCATCTTTATTGTTAGCATTAGGCTTTAAACACAGGCTGTATGTAAAACTAAAGACTGAAAAAGATTTCTTCTAAAAAGTCAGGGTCTGTAAAAAGGAAAGAAAACAATTTGGGACTTGCTGGTAGCATGCCAGGACTCTCTCAGTAGGACACCGTGACCCAGGGCGTTGAGAGACAGAAATACTTTAGGCAATTTCTGTTTTTTTTTTTAAAAAAAAAATCACCAGCTTGTTTGAGGCTGATGCTCCTCCAACCTTACTTCATCCAAATAAGTAACACAAAGGAAAAAAGATTGTAAAATAGGTTAGAAGAAGATTCAAATGAGTTTTAGTAGAATATTATGTGCCGAAATCAAAAGGGGTCTAAATTGTAGCTTAAAAATGTCTGCTCCCCACACATCCCAGGATGGAAGAATCTTTTTTTTTTGGGGGGGGGGTGTTCACATCAGTGTATTTCCTCCCAATCCTTGACCAGATGAACTACTTGTTCCAGGTCATCAAACCCTTTAGTGATTTAAACTCTCAAAGTCAGAGAATGGGTATGGCTGGCCACACACTGCTGTCAGTTCAGATGGCAGAGAAAAGTAAAGCAAAGCATGCACAGACAGACGCATACAGACACACAGACACGCACATGTGCATACCATACACATGAACAATTCCTTCAAAAGCTCAGATTGAGACTCTTTTCAACTAAAAGCAATAAAAATGTAATTTAAAAATATAGAGAAATGATCCAGTCACTTAAGCCTTCACACATGAAAAGACTCTAGAATTTAGCTATCCAATCCATGAAGAGACTCTAGAATCTCACTATCCAATCAATGTAAAGACTCTAGAATCTCACTATCCAATCAACGTAAGGACTCTAGAATCCAGCTATCCAATCCATGAAGAGACTCTAGAATCCAGCCTTCCAGTAAGGTCTGTGTTATCACCACCAGCCTTTCCAAAGAGCTCATTTACAATGCATCGCAGACGCCCTCTGCCAACTGCCGTTGAGCTCACGGACAGAGGGTGGACCTCATCTGACCTTGACTTGTGTCCAGTCTGGCCATGCCACACACCGGCCATCTCAGCAGGTGCTGGAAAGAGCAGACTGTGTCCACAACAGCTCAGGAAAAGGCTATGAAGACGCAGGCCAGGAGACAGGCTTGGAGTTCTTCTGGAGGGCGAGAACAGACATAGCGGCTAGCTCTGCACTGCAGACAGGTTTTCTCTTCCATTGCTGGTGACATATGACTTTGTGTAGTCACTTTGTACTAACCGGAGAACAAACGTTCAAGTGTCACTTTCCACTGCAAGTTAGATTTGGTATTAGGGACAGGAGTACAGCTGTGCATCACATCCCAGACACATCTGTGCTTCAGGATGAACTGTGTCCTGAGTGCAACAAGCCATGTGAGAATGTCAGACTCCGATGAACAACTCTGGTGCGGGCCTGCTGGTTTGGAGGCCTCGCCCAGGGGTTGGAGAGAGCGCTGAGGATTGCTGATATCTGTGTCATAAGCCAGCCCATTGGGTGCTCGCTCACATGGAAGAGAGGTTCCAGGGGAAGTGCCAAGGTCACAGCCCCCCCCCCTTTGATGGCTCATTGTGATCATACAGAATGCCCGTGCCTCTGTCACCATGTAAGATCCGTCCTCCAGACCACAGGGGGCCGTGTGCAGCACACCACGGCCCAGCCCAGGGCTGCTCCCCACTGCCACAGGAGAGGCCTAGGCGATGGGTCTGACTCAAGCCTCTTCTGGTGCTCTTTGGATGAAGGACATTATAAATATGAACAGGGTAAAGAAACCTCAATCGCCTCTTCCAAACTAACCCAGCAACACCCGGGAAAGGAAGGAAGGAAGAAACATACAGGAAGGAAAGAAGGAAGGAAGGAAGGAAAGAAGGAAGGAAGGAAGGAAGAAAGGAAGGAAGGAGAGAGGGAAGGAGGGAGGGAGGAAGTGAGGGAAGGAAGGAGGCAGGAAAGGGAAGCGCAAGGAGGGCAAGGAGGGGTTTGCGCCTTTCCTCTTAGGCATCACCTATGCTAATACTTCCTCCTCCTCTTCCTCTTCCTGTGCTCTCATTTGAATGCTCCCACTCCTGCTGGCCTTCGATCATTCTTGAGTCCGGCGATGCGTGAGCGAGGTGAGTATTTTATCCATCACTCTTGAGTCTGGCGATGAGCGAGGTGAGCATATTTTATCGATCACTCTTGAGTCCGACGATGAGCGAGGTGAGTATATTTTATTTGGGATCTACTTGACTTGTGGCAAAAGAGCCAGAATTTGCTTTTTCCTAGAAGTGGAAGTGTAGGGATTTGAAGAGTTCTGGCCACTTGTGGTAGAGATGACCAGGGCTGATCTTAGCTCGCACTCCAGAACCCTCCAGAACCTTCTGCCCTCCACGGGTGCGTCCAGGGTAGCCCACTGTGGGTGTGGGCAGGAACAGGAGGCGCGGCCACTGGCAACCTTCCCAAGTTTCATTCCTCTCTTCTGGGATTATATTTTCTTTAAAGTAATCTATTTATAATAATATAATTTTCACAATTACATAATGAGTATTTCTCTTAATCCAATCACCACAGCTACCAAAAAAGTTATCTGGGGGAGGTTATGGTGTGTTGCTTCTGCTTCTGCTTTTTAAAGGGTGCTCAGCTCTGTTCTCCAAACGTCCAGGAGTGGGGTTTTCTGAAGCCTCACTCCCCCCTTTCATGGTGTCTCTAACAGACTCGAGGAGAGCTGAGAATCTTCGTGGGTTTTGCCGACCTGGAGTTTCACGCACACATCTTGAAGAAGAGTGGCGTTGGCACCGTTAGGTGATGACTAAATTCTCATCTGGCAGCACACACCTTTTCTGAACTACAGTTTCCAATTGGTGTAATGACTTTCAAAATTAACATAGCTATTTGCCACCTTTCCTGCAATGGTGAGGGCAAAACAATCTTAAGAAGCCAAAATAGCTTAGCAGCAATTAAACTAAAGAGCCATTCCAAAGAAACCGAGTAACAGATCTGAGTCATATGTGCGACGGAACAGCTTCAAAACCCGCTTCCTAAGTATCTGGTAGAAAAGCAACTGCAGAGAGCTTTCCTGGCAAGCCCAGGCCCAGCACGGCTCTGGTTCAAGCCCTCGAGCTAGCCAGAAAAATCATATTTTACTTTGTATTTTCTTGTCTCACTCTTTAGCTATAGAGTTCATTGTATATTAAACTCTTACGTGAAAAAGTGAAATAGTAATTAGTACACAAGAATGCCAAGTGGTCGCCATATGTTAGTAAGTTCTCAAAAGACAGACTTTCCTATCACCTAAGAAGAAAATAATAATACATTTTTATTAGTACTTTCATTGAGTGAAAAGCTAAAAAAAAAAGTCCAAGAACTCCCTAGACTCTTATAATAATTAGAAAATCTATATTATGTAACTACTGTACTGCTTAGCAGAGGTTCTGCTCTTCGGTTTCAACTTCAAAAAAGTGAAAGAGCATTGTATGACCGGGCGCCGGTGGCTCACGCCGGTCATCCTCGCTACTCAGGAGGCTGAGATCTGAGGATCCTGGTTCAAAGCCAGCCAGGGCAGGTAAGTCTGTGAGACTCTTCTCCAATTAACCACCAGAAAATGAGAAGTGGCGCTGTAGCTCAAAGTGGTCGAGTGCTAGCCTTGAGTGCAAAAGCTCAGGGACAGCACCCAGGCCTGAGTTTCTTAATGAGAGTTTTAAAAGTCATAAAACATAGTTAATAAATATATTAAAGCTGCAGACTCTGTCAGAAAATAGTCATTACTGTGGGAAGTACGAAGCTTTGTTCCATACACAGTAATACCCCACACATGACGGCACGCTAGGCTATCACAAGGCCACTGCCTAATAATACTTGCTCAGCTACGCCTTTCTAAAAAAATAAACTGCACCCTAGTCACATAGCCATCGGTTTTAAGTCTAAATGCCAGAGACTTAATATACACACAATTGTAGGTTGAACAGATTTCTGGAGGTATCTTTTGGAGCTGTAAATGTTTTCTAAGCATGTGTCCACTAATTTCCAAAGATTTAGCACCAAATTCAATGAAAGGTCTGTTTGCTGGCATAGCCAGCTTCTTTCTGTGGCTCACTCTGGTTGGGTAAGAACTGCACAAGGTGATTTGCACACACCGCCCACAGAATCACCCTTCCAGAACTGCATTACCCCTATTTTCTCACTTTTCTTTCATGAAATTCCTGTCTTTTTCCAATGTAAAACTGAAGGGTGGCTTGGCATCTCTCGAAAAGCCTTTATATACTGTCAGTTCACACGAAGTTCTATTAACTACATTTTATAGTTCCTGTTTAATGGAGGTCTTTCTTTGAATATCTGGTCATTGCTAAATACCAGTCATAAGAGCAGTTTGAATTCCTGAACTTCTTTATGCCTGGCCTTCCTGATGCAATTCCTATCCTGCCTCCTTGAAAACAAAGCTATAAAACTCTCCAGGCACAATTTGTAACAGACTGTAGTTAAAGCTGCACCATAAATTTTCTCTTAATATCAGCACGACTTAGTTACATTATCTGTATTTAATTCATTCTTAAGGCCATTAAACTCCAAAAGATGATTCAAGTGTTTGTTTTGATAAAATTTGTTGTTCATTTGTATTCTTTTTGCATAGATGAAGATAGCTATGCTATCTGCAAACGTAACACATTCAATAAGAAATCCGGAAGACCTCAAGCCTTGTCATTAGGACAAGGCCAAATGTGGTAGTCTTCATTGATTCATATTTATGATCCAAGTATGGTTACTGCTGACAATTAAATCAAGGACAGACAAGAATCCGCTGGCAGCTCAAGACAGTGCACCAAGAAATTGTATAATTGTCAAAGATTCCCACCAGCACTCATCCGCAATGTCATATTACCCAGGTTTCCTAAACATTAGAAAAGTAGTTCTGTTGCTACTATTGAGTCTTGCTTTCTATACTGTGTATGCTGGTAACAGGATAATTTTTCATTAACAGTAAGCTAGAACTATTAATGATTCACTTACTAACATGGAAAACTTTTCTTCTATAGAACATTTAAATCAGATTTGTAAACACACACACACACAAACCTCAGAAAAAACTACCAAAATTGTCTCTTACAAGTAGTTATTAACTAGTTATTCACTATTTTGTTTAAAAATACACTATCATATTAAATTTCTTCTTTTTTAGCTACTTAGTAAGTATATAATGAGGAATAGTACTAAACTTTGCTTTAAAAAAGATTCAAACGAATGAATAATTGTAGATTTCAATTGACGTATATTTTAGGGCAATATATCTACTTGTGTTATAATGAACTAAAAAAATACATATCAAGTAGGGTAATTTGGAAATTATGTCATCATAAACCAAATGTTATGATTGTTTGCCATATCCCATGTATTTTAAGAATTTTCCCTGTTGTTTTGAGGGATACCCACGAAATTTACACAAGTGGATTTGACATGGAAAGAATAAGAGCGGCTGACTTTCCTTGATCTATATTTTGTGTTAGTGAGATAAGTACGTTGGAGTTAATCTAATTACATGTATACTGACCTTGCTTGTCTAAAAACAAGCCAAGGAAACACAGGACACACATTGAACCATTTCATTGTTGTTTCCAAACGCTGTATCGGATGGATCTATGTCAGCAAATGTGTTGTGTGTGGTGCTGCCACGCTGGTCCTGCCAGCGTTTGCGTGGAAAGTGTCACAGACATTCCGTTATCAGGATGACCCCATGCCAACGCAAGCACTAAGCTCTAGGGTTTTGCTACAGGATTTGAAGTGGTGACAGCCTCTCCCTGTGGTGTGTCTCCATCCACCCTGGGCCCTGAGGACACCTCCTTGGGTAAAAGTGGCTCCTAATGTGAGGCCCCTGAGCCCAGGGGTCTGCGAGCATTCTGGAAGCTTCCTCTTCTGACCTGAGGCGTTCACTCCCTCACACGCTCACTTCTGCTTTCACTCACCAAATTTGCATCGGCGACATTGATCTCATTTGGAGTATTTTGCCACTGCCAGAGGCTGAGGAGGAGGGTTTTCGTGTGTCATTTGAACCAGTGCAATTGTAGTCTCAGGAAGACTCAGGGGTGGCGCTACGGGGGTGATGTGGATACTTCTGCCAGTGAAAGTTTGCTTTTTCATATCTTTACCTCCATGGTCAAACTAATAAGGAAATGGGGTTTCTGGTGTGACTTCCCTCGACATGTCTTTCATGGGTGAGACTGAGCATCCTCCTTAGTTCTCAAAGTCATTTCTCCCTCGTTCGCGTGAATGTGCGGCCCTTTCCCACTTTGCACGGTCACAGCCTTTAATGAGGTAGGTGATGTGTAGGTGCATGAGGAAATGATCCCGTTGTTTCCCAGTTTACCTGGTTTATCTGGGGTGTTGGGATTGAACCCAGGGTCCCTTTTAAAAGGCCTAAGTGGAGCTCATTACCACATGCAGTGCCTCACATGCAGAATTTGCCCTCCTGTCCTTTAGCCATTTTCAAATGGCTTGGAGCTCCCGTCACCATGTGCGACCCAGCGCTGAGCTTTTCTTCCCGGCCATCATTCCTGCCTCGCTTCCTTCCCTTCTTCACTCTCTCCTCTCTCACCCGTGTCCCAGCGCTCATGTTCCCTTTCAATACCTGCTGAAACCTTTCAACGTCCAGGGGACGCTATCCTGTCCTGACCAGTTACATAAGAAGAGTACCCCCTCACCGGAGTCTGAACAGGAGCGCCCCACGTGGTGGCTTATGTCTGTGAGCAGCACCTTGCGACCCAGGTGGCCTGGGCCGAGGGGGAATGCAAACTCACACGAAAAATAAGCACGCCAGGAAGGCTGGCGGTGGCGCACAAGCTTGCGCCAGCACATGGCCCCAGTGCAGATCCCGGTACCATCAGAAGTGTTGATTTTCATTTCACGTAAATATGAGACACCTTTACTGGTTGACGGTACAAGGCCTGCGGTCTGCTACCTGCTGCGAACACACAAGGCAGGAAAACGCAACGGCTTCACCACAGCGCCGCATTCACGGAAGACATCCCACCTGGAGAAAGGGGCTGAGCACTTGTGATGGCCGTGGGCTTGGCTCTCCAGCAATTTGTTTTATCTTCTGAACAGGAATGGCATCATTCTTAGATCAAGGACAGTAATTTTACTTTATTTATTTTGCCTGTCCTGGGGCTTGAACTCAGGGCCTGGGCGCTGTCCCTGAGCTGCTTTTGCTCAAAGCTAGCACTCTACCACTTGAGCCACAGCACTAGTTCTGGCTTTTTCTGCTTATGTGGTGCTGAGGAATCGAACCCAGGGCTTCATGCATGCTAGACAAGCACTCTACCACTGAGCCACCTTCCCTGTCCTATTATTATTACTTTTACTGCTCAATTCTCTGGTGACACGGTTCTCCTGAGTCTGGTTAGCAGTGAGCACATTCAGTCACCATAGTTGCGCCCCATGCTTTCATCTCCTTTTAGACCTCGCTCCCATAGGCAGTCGCTCTGTCTCCCTGCCCAGGAGTGCTGTCCGATGCCTGTCACTTCTGTTCCCAGCAGTACCGTGTGCTGTGCTCCCAGCAGTACTGTGCACTGTGCTCCCAGCAGTACCGTGTGCTGTGCTCCCAGCACCACTCTGCCCTAGGCTCCCAGTACTACCATGCATCTTAATTACTAGGACCACTGTGCATCTGTATTCCAAATCTCCTGGATGCATCATCAACCGAGATGTACGGCACTGGTTTTGTGTCTCCGTCCACCTCAAAGGACCTCTCAGGACTGAGTCAGGTCATCCTGAACGCACGCCTCTGGCAGAGCTCCGCGGGTATAAGGTGGTTG